CGCAAAATCTTTCCCATGACAATTTAAAACAATGACTGGAAAGCCCCTCTTTTGCAAGCCTTTTCAATGGAGGTGCTCCTGTACAAACTTTTTTGGCATGACTGATTATCAAGAGCTGGCCAACTGCTACATAATTAAGTGTTTATGCATATTTGAAGCATGTTGGTCTGGATGAAATCTAGACCATATAAAAAAACAAGTGCACTGGATGATTGTATATTCCCCTTTATTCAGTGCACATACTTTTTATTTGTGTTTATATTTAAGGAAGCTGTGGTGTGCGTTTCAAACATTTCCAAATTCCCCTCCGAATCTTGATGATAAAGTTTAATAAAGCAATTAGCTGTAGCAGCATGGGACTGCAGCCAAGTATGTTTTTCAAGAAGACTTAAAGGAGACTTTTGCACCAAAAGATGATGATGACACCAGAGCCAGTGCCATCCACCTCTGCAGCGTCCTCAGGTGGAGGTGGCAGCAGCAGCAGCACTATGGGGCAGTCTCAGCAACAACACCACCAGCCTAGGAAAGAGAAGTCTGGCACACCACTTAGTTAGAAAAGAATGCCTGTGATTTATTCAACAATTCAAAGGAGCAGAAAAGTATTAGAATGGCTGGGCCGGTGCATTAGGTAACTAAACAGGAGAAGTCAGATACTGCAAAAAGTAGTCATAAACATCTTTACTGAGGCATGTGAGAGTAGCAGCAGCACCCTCACAACTCCAAGTAAAAGAAGCAGTGTATTCACAACCACCGTGCCCCAAAATCCACCAGAACAAAGCAGCAGGCAGAGCCGCCATCAGGGGGTGACAACCATAACGGTTGTCACAGGCCCGGCGGCCCTGGGGGGGCCCCATGTGGAGCGGCAAAACTGCCGCAGGTGCATCTGTACCGGGGCCCATCAGGTGGCCCAAGCATTTAGGGCCACACGATGGGCCCTATATCTTCAGGGGACTGGTCAGCGCTGCGGGCCTTTAATTGCGCGACCGGGCCTCTTTAAAAAAAATTGCGGCTACACCACAAGTGCCGCTGGGAGGAAGTGACAGCCGGTCACTTCCTCCCAGCTTACTCCACGCAGGGGGAGAGCGGAGGACACCAGAGGCATCCGCTCCCATCATCCCCAGCCACCCTCCTGCAACTTAAAGGTAAGAGGAGGGTGGCTGATAAATGAAGTGTGTGATCGGGTAAGTACCACTACACAAAGTGCCTTCAATGATTTTACATGGATGTGTGAAGTATAAAACAATTTTAAAAATATATAATTTTAGTGCAAAGGTGCATTCAATGTCTCCACCCTCTGCATGGAGACACTGAACTTTCCTCATAGAGATGCACTGATTCAATGCCTCTCTATGAAGAGATGTTGATTGGCCAGGATGGCATTTGGCTCCACCCTCCTGTATGTCAGTATGTATATATGTCTGTTTGTCAGTATGTATGTATGTCTGTGTGTGTGTATGTGTCTATCTGTATGTGTGTGTGTGTATGTCAGTATGTATATATGTCTGTATATGTGTGTGTGTGTGTGTGTGTGTGTCAGTATGTATGTGTGTATGCATGTATATATCTATCTATCATTATTTATGTGTGTGTGTGTGTATATATGTATGTCTTCAAGTATGTTTGTATGTCTGTGTGTGTGTGTATGTCAGTATGTATGTGTCTATCTGTCTGTATGTGTGTATGTCAGTATGCATGTATGACTGTGTGTATGTGTCTATCTGTATGTGTGTGTGTGTATGTCAGTATGTATATATTTCTGCATGTATGTCTGTTTGTCAGTATGTATGTTTGTGTATGTGTCTGCAAGTGTGTATGTCAGTATGTATGTATGTCTGTGTGTCAGTATGTATGTCAGTATGCATGCATGTGTCTATCTGTATGTGTGTGTGTATGTCAGTATGCATGTGTGTGTATGTGTATGTCAGTATGCATGTATGTTTGTTTGTCAGTATGCATGTATGTATGTGTGTGTGTATGTCAGTATGCATGTATTTCTGTTTGTCAGAATGCATGTATGTCCGTGTGTATGTATATATCTGTATGTGTGTGTGTATGTCAGTATGTATATATGTCTGTATGTATGTCTGTCTGTGTATGTGTCTGCAAGTATTTATGTATTTGTGTGTGTATGTCAGTATGTATGTATGTCTGTGTGTGTCTGTATGTATGTCAGTATGCATGTATGTATGTGTCTATCTGCATGTGTGTGTGTATGTCAGTATGCATGTATGTCTGCCTGTCCGTATGCATGTATGTCTGTGTGTATGTCAGTATGCATGTATGTCTGTGTGTGTATGCCAGTATGCATGTATGTCTGTTTGTCAGTATGCATGTATGTCTGTGTGTATGTGTCTATCTGTATGTGTGTGTGTGGTATGTCAGTATGTATATATGTATGTCTGTTTGTCAGTATGTATGTCTGTGTATGTGTCTGCGAGTATGTATGTCTGTGTGTATGTGTGTCAGTATGCATGTATGTCAGTATGTATATATGTCTGTATGTGTGTATGTCAGTATGTATGTATGTCTGTGTGTGTATGTCAGTATGTCTGTGTGTATGTGTCTATCTTTATGTCAGTATGTATATATGTCTGTATGTATGTGTGTGTGTATGTCAGTATGTATGTGTGTATGTATGTATGTATGTCAGTATGCGTGTGTGTATGTCAGTATGTCTGTATGTATGTGTCTATCTTTATGTGAGTATGTATACATGTCTGTATGTATATATGTCTGTGTGTGTGTATGTCAGTATGTCTGTATGTATCTGTGTATGTATTGTGATCCTTGTTTGCAGATAGCACGGTCCTCTAGGGTAAACAGCAGGCACAGTCTTTTGGTTTTCATGTAATCCAGGCAATTTATTGTTAAACTCCACCACAGATACAACGGCAAATGAAAAAACAACAATAACACAAATCCCTATAAACAAAAACCTAGCTCAGTCTGAGCACTAACTAACATCAAGTTCCCTATCTCTCAAGGGTTTAAACGATAACAGAACAAGAAGTGGTTTCACCAATCTAGTGCCTTTGTCAGATCTCTGCACGCCACACAAATTCTCTCTCCTTTCCGCACTCCAGTGCTCTCAGCTAACCTTGACTGCTTCCTTCTGCACTCCCAGTGCCCCAAGCCAGCCTTAACTGCTTTCCTTTCTGCACACTCAGTGCTCCAAGCCAGCCTGCTTAGTTTTCCGCTCCTGCTGGGCATGTTTGAGCTTCATTTGGGCCTGTTTAGCCTCCGTCTCAGCTTTACTTATTTCATTTTTGCATGTCATCATTTGCCCAGCCAGAGTAGCCTCTTCACCATCCTCATTACTAGAAAGCCCTGCAGAGACAGCATTGAAATGTTGCTGGGCAGAAGCAAAACCATCGGCGTCCTTCTGACATTGTGGGGATATTTATGGGGTAATAATAGTAACAGTGAGAATCGCCCACTAATTCAATTCTCAGATCCCAAAGAACGTTTATCGTAAGTGAAAGTATTTCATATAATAATATCACAATGTATAAAAATAGATTTTATTTTATAATAACAAGTTAATTATAATAATATGTAACATGCATGACAATAATCAATGAATTTCCAGTATAAAATGGTATGCAATACAAAGAAATGGGTATTACGTTTCAATGGCTAAACAGCATTATCTGTCAAGACTTACACGATTTATGAGGTATCCTTAACACAGACTTAAAGTGAAACATTTCACAGCTAAGAAAAGTTTTACTCAGAGAACAGAATTCCTCAGAGTGCAGCGTAAGGTCGTAAAGTTTAGCTGACAGTTAAAATAACCCTTCCAATGCTGGCTAGACCTCCTAGATAAAATACATTTAAACCAGTTCATTAGTCATTTCCTGGAACCATCCAATAAGAGAATCTACCATATATATAAGCAGATTTTAATTTGTCTAAAAGATATCTTATCTTAATTTAGAGCAAATCAATACACCTGGATAAAAACAACGGTATGCTACCACGTGATAATATCACATCAATATATAATTATTCTTAATTCCACCTGCAGAATGGAATGTTTATAACTATATATTCTTTAGTTAACTAAGATTTCTTAATATGGAAATCTGACCGTGCTTTATCCAGTCATATATAATGCTATTAATACATTTTAATTAATTTAATTAATTAAATGAAACCAGTATAATTACCAGTTGAGTAGATATTTCATCCGATTGGTAGTCTCAGGAACTTATTTGGATGTCTCTCTGCATGGAGGTGTTGGTTAGAAAGTCAGTAAATTCTAAGTGTTAGAGTTTTAGGAGTAGAGTGTTAGTCTCAGATGTTGTCCGAGTTGGAATCCCCAAACTTCCAATTCCTCTCTCCTCTTTTTTTTTTCTTTCTCCTTTGCCTATTCTGCATAACTCAATCTTCCCTTTGTCCTAACTTTTAAAGGGCCAGACTCTCTGTACGTCATCAGTTGATAACCCAATAGAAGCACTAGAGGTGTGGTTATCTTCCGAATCGCAATTTAGTTATTTGGTCTATAGAGGGCAGTCTTGTCCCACTAAACATACCTATCCAGGAAAGAGTTAACTTTTCCTGGTGGCTATTTTGACGTCATTTTGGCCTATCTAGATAGTGGCCATAACTTACGTATCCTTCACAGATCAAAGGGTTTATTTAAGTTTTGTCCAGACTATGTGTCTGGCAATCTGGGTTTTGACCCGTAACTTACAATGGGACCTTATATGTATAGACAGTTAAATTGTATTATTTAATCTTCTCTGTCACAATTGTCTGGGTTTAGAATTGATTATATTCTTCTTATCACTTGTTTATACTATGCATTCCTTTTAGCTCTGGCAAAGTGGCTAGTCTTACAGAAAGAAATCTTGTGTCTTTTTGTTAACTTGAAAATAACAAAATGGAGTCTGGTCTGTTCAGAGTGACTCAGAATATACACTTTTAGTTTCTATCATAGTTCAAAATGTCTGCCGATATAAATACCCTGACAACATGCTTCCTGAAATGTGCTCAGACTGTTTGTTATTTTCTTAACTTCTTTCTCTTTGCCACCTAAAGCCTTGGCATCCTCGTCCATGCTCTTCACTAACTCCTTGCATTTTTTCTCTTCAGCTTTCATATTTTGTTTCTTGAGGTCCAGGGTGCTTTGTGCCTTGGCATCAGTTCTCTGTGCCTCAGCGAGGGTTTCTTCTAATATACGCAGTTGTCCTCCAACTTCCTGATCTCTCGTTTTCTCAATCTGTGAGATTTCATTGGCTAGCTCCTTCACTTTTTTCTCATTCTCAGCCAATCGTTTCCTGAAGCTTAAGTATTGATTCCTGCATTTCATTTAATTCTTCTGCACAGCGCACTTTGGTCTCTTCAGCACAAACAAACTGGTGGGCAACATAGAGACGACTTAAATGTTCTATTTCTCGCATGATCTTTTGGTACTCCAAATAAGAAGACCTTTCCTCTTTTAGTTTGTGGATGGTTTGAGTTATTTCTTCTTCCAGAATCGTCTGTATTTCCTTAAGCTTGGCTTCTTTCTTCTCAATTGTTTTTTGAGCAGCAAGTTTCTTACATTCATACATCCTGGTACCAGCAGCTTCTTCAATCATAGCTTTGTGTTGCACACCACACATACAACACGTTCTTCCCCTGGGGTTAAATGTTAAAGGCCTCTCTGCCTTCACTTTATCACAGTATATATCTATCTGTGTGTGTGTGTGTGTGTGTGTATGTCTGTATGTATGTATATCAGTATGTGTGTGTGTGTCTGTGTCCTTTTGTGTCTGTGTGTGCGTATTCATGTGGGCGGGGCTTGGAGGCGGGCACCTGGGGGCCCAGACCTTGAGCTGTGTTAGGCGGCCCAGTCTGTGTGTGTGTGTATGTCAGTATGCATGTATGTCTGTGTGTGTGTGTGTGTATGTCAGTATGTCTGTGTGTATGTGTATGTCAGTATGTATATATGTCTGTTGTCGGTATGTATGTATGTCTGTGTGTGTGTATGTCAGTATGTATATATGTCTGTGTGTGTGTCAGCATGCATGTATGTCTGTGTGTATGTGTCTATCTGTATGTGTGTGTGTGTATGTCAGTATGTATATATGTCTGTGTGTGTGTGTCAGTATGTATGTGTGTATGCATGTATATATCTATCTATCAGTATTTATGTCAGTATGCATGTATGTCTGTGTGTGTATGTCAGTATGTCTGTATGTATCTGTGTATGTATATATCTATCTCTGTGTGTGCGTGTGTATGTCTGTATGTATGTATATCAGTAAGAATGCCATTATGTATGTATGTCAGTTTGTATGCATGTCTATTTGTCAGTATGTATGTATGTCTGTATGTAAGTGTGTGTCAGTATGTGAGTATGTATGCACGTCAGTGTGTGTGTCAGTGTGTGTTTGTATCTGTATCTGTGTATGTGTCTGTGTGTGTATGTATGTTTCAGTATTTGTGTCTGTTAGTATGTGTGTGTCTGTGTCCTTTTGTGTCTGTGTGTGTGTGTATTCCTGTGGGCGTGATTTGAAGGCAGGGCTTGGAGGTGGGCAATTGGGGGGCCCAGGCCTTGAGCTGTGTTAGGGGCCCCACAATTTCTGATGGCGGCCCTGGCAGCAGGAGCAGTATGAGGGATGTACAGGAGGGTGAGTCAGCACAAAAAAAGACAATGCTAGGTTCATCAGCTGACCCTTGAAGAATTTAGTCATGCACATTTTGGGGGCATGTCAAAACAGATGTCAAATAAGATGACAAGATTGATAGGCCAGTTTATTGCTGTTGGGTGAAGCTAAATTTTAGTTAAAGAGAGTGTAGTTAACGTATGCCTAAGCAGGGGAGAGAAGACTGTCATTCAAGAACAGATGTGCATCCCCCCACATTTCCAGCCCCAGGTCTGCACAGGAGACCACACAGAGTGTCTGATAGCCTCGCCACACCTGGTGCTCTGGGCAAAGTCTCTGCTACGTCCCATGTGTAGGGATGATCGTCTTGTCAGTCTCCAACTCAGGAGGGGAGTACTCCGTGTCCACAAGCTCTATTGCAGGAAAGCAGGGTGGTCGTATCATCGCTGCCTATCTGCGCCATAGTAGATCGCTTGTGGCATCAAAAGATGCTTCCCAGTGTTGCTGTTGCTCGACCTTCATGGCTTGATCAGCTATTGGGATGTCGGTAACCATCTTAGGTAGGCAGGTACTCTGCTTACTTTTAACTTGCATAGGGGCCTGCTTCCAGAGCCTGCTTGCCGTTCCAGTGTGGACCAAGATAACTGTAACGGACCGTTTTGCACACAAGGGGTAAAAACCGTTTACGCGATCGGCCCCCTTTCCAGAGATACAGGCACAGCTACTGCAGAACACCAAACTCCCGGACTGGATACAAAATAGCACTCCAACTCCCGAACTGGAACCTCCCAAATAGCTGCTAGCAGACGAACAGGAAAAGCAGACGAACAGCTTACACTCCTGGCAATCAGTCTCTAACAGCATACAGTGAATCCCCCCAAGAGCGAGACAAGGCTCCGTGTTGAGGGTCAAGCAGTGGTCTGAGGTGCTGGCACACCCAGCCTGGTTTTTATTACAGTCTTGCAAATGCAGGACCGCCCACAGGGAGGTATAAAACAACCAATCACATCACAGTTACATCCCACATATTCCCTCCCCTTATCCTGAGAGGAAACTCAATTACACATACAGTTAAAACATACTTTCTACCCAACTTTCATAACTCTAAAACCATACATCACATTCACATAAAATTACATATCCACAATCAATCCATTCAGGGGAACAACATATTAAAAAAAAATGGCATGTATCAGACCAGGGGTTCAAAAGTTAGTAAAAAGTATCTTTTGTACCCTGGCTGGCAGCATGGCTATCTGGCTCAAACAGGTTTTACAGAGCCCTCTATCCTGGACAATGGGGAAAGTAATCCAATTATCCAGGGATAGAGGCAGACTCTATTGAGCACATGGGGACACAAAGACAGTAAAACACTTTAAAATACATAAAGTCACCTTTTACACATAACACACGGACATTTCACATATCCCCAGATAGCTGGGATCTGAGCGCACAAAACTACCGAATAGCGCTCAGATCCAATTCACACAGTTCAATTGCCATGGAGCCGAAGTCCTTAACTACACGAATGGGCTCCATGGCATAGCTATCTGGGTTAACACATTTACATAAAGTCTAGTCCATAGTCCAAAGGCAGCAGGCGGGCAGCCAGGCTTCTCCAATGCAATGTGGCGAGATTGCTCTCGTCACAATAACCACCACCAGTCTAGAGGGGCGGGGGAAACGATGCACAAACATGACCCTGCCAAAGAATCAGTGGTTCCAAGTAATAGGGGACATAGGAGGCACTGGAGACTTGATAAAGATCTGGGTGCAGGTCAAAATTTTGCGGTGTCCAATAAACCTGCTTAAATCTATCACAGCGAGTGCCTGAGACTTTTTTTCTTTTATACACTGAGACACTGAGACACTTGGGGGCACTGTGAGACATAGGGACACTGGAAGGCTAGTGGACTCTGGGAGACTAAGGGACACTGAGATACTAAGGACACTGAAACACTACGGACACTGAGAAACACCAGGGACACTGGGGGGCATGGGGCACAGACACTGTGATATGTAGGGGACACTGTAATCTTTTATACTAGGAGACATGGGTACACTGGGAGATATGGGGACACTGGGAGACTGGGGGACTTTGGGAGGCTAGGAAACACTGAGACACTAGGGACACTGGTTCCCCCATAGACACTGAGAGACACCAGGGACACTGGGAGACATAGGGACACTGAGATACTGGATGGGAGTGCCCCATGTCTCCCTGTGTCCCCCAGTGTCCCCATGTCTCTCAGTGTCCTCTAGTGTTTGTATCCCCATGTCTTCCATTGTCCCTTAGAGTCTGTGTCCCCATGTCTCCTTGTGTCCCCATGTCACTAGGACACTAGGGGACACTTAGAGATATTGGGACACTGTGAGACATGGGGACACTGTGACACTAGGGGACACTGGGAGAGACATGGGGATACTGAGAAACTAGGGGACTCTGGGAGACTAGGGGACTCTGAGAGACTAGGGACAGATACACTAGGGGCACTGGAAGACATGGGGATACTGAGGGACACCAGGGACACTGAGACACTAGGGACACTGACTGGGAGACATGAGGACACTGAGAGACTAGGGACCACTAAGATACATGGGGCCACTGTGTCCCTAGTATCTCAGGGTCCCCATGTGCCCCAGTGTCTCCATGTCTCCCAGTGTCCCAATGTCTCAGTGTCCCCAAAACTCTCACTGTCCCCATGTCTCACAGTTTCCCCTAGTGTCTCAGTGTCCCCAAGTGTCCCTATGTCTTCCAGTGTCCCCTAGTGTCTCAGTGCCCATTAGTGTCTCAGTGTCCCCATGTCTTAGTGTCCCCTAGTGTCTCAGTGTCCCCTAATGTCTGTGTCTCCATGTCTCCCTGCAACCTTTCTTCCATCCCACACTTACCTGAGGTGTTGGCTGTCTCTGCAGGCTCAGAGCTGCTGTCTGGACTCTCTGTGCAGAGGTGCTCCCCCGCAGATCAGTGAGTAGAGAGAGGCAGGGAGGGAGATGCTGTAACTTCTTATCCCTGCCTCTCTTCACACACACAGTGACCCCTATTGGACAGAGCTGGTATTGCAGAATAATCTCTGTTTATATTGAGACCCACATTTGTATTGCCGGTATTACTATGATACTGGCACCTGCTAGGCAGCCTCAAATACCTGAGAAATACTTCTGAGAAATACCTGGCAACCCTAAGAAACACCTGAGAAATACCTGGCAACCCTAAAAATAGTGTGCCTGCAGCTCAACCAACCCCTATGTTAATCCGGCCCTGGTGGCCACACACAGTGACACAGAAACACACTAATACACGGATACATGTACCCACACTAACATACACAGATACAAACATTTACCTAAACATTTACCTACAAATCTTCAATAAAACGTTATTTTTCATGTGGTTGATACATTAACAAAATAGTCACTGAATAATTTATGTCTCTTATCTATTGAAAAAATGAAGTTGTCTTAGTACGCAACCTTTCATAATTATTTTAGACCAGGCTTTAATATGTATATCTAGGTGAAGATTTAAATCAGCACATCCTGTATAAAAATGGTATAAGTTAAAAACCCAATGTTCTTCATATACTTATATTTATAATTCAGTGAATTGCCCCACCTGACAAGCTGAAATATATAAAATAGATATACCTATTACATCTTTTTACACATGGGAAATATGTGCATACTTTAAGTAAATATATATTTACCCCAAAATTACATATACATTATATATATATCCTAAGCGATTATAAATAATGTAGATATCAGAAAAAATAAAATATATAAATTATATTTAAATAAAATCACAAATTATATTTCAACTATATTTCACTGTTATACATCTGTCTCCCATACAACTACAAGAAACAAACTAAGTCAATATCTACATTTAAGCCATTCGGCTCCACTGTCTGTAATTTGTGGATCCAAAAGGTCTCATGTTGAGACAAAGATCTCCGTCTGTCCCCTCCCTGCCAATGTGGATCGATCAT